CTATTAGTTTCACTAACTTCTAAAAAAAAACCATGTATGTGTGCATATATTCATGTGAAGTCATGAAATATGTACCCATTTCTTAGTGTATATATATAGAGAGAGAGCTCCCATCATGCTTATATGGGTGTATATTTATATGGATTATTAGCAGTAGCAATAGCAGATAGACATTTACCGCTTCATGGTGCTTTAAAGCCCTCTCTAAGCAGTTTACAGAGTCAGCCTATTCCCCCATCAATCTGGGTCCTCATTTTACTGACCTAGTAAGGATGAAAGACTGAGTCAACCTTGAGCCTAGGGGGACTCAAAACTAGCAGTCAGCAGAAGTATCTTGCAGTACTGCATTTTAACCAATGTGCCACCACGACTCTTATTGTTCTTGTCCAGGCAGAATCTCATGGCACATTGCATTGTATATCTTATTTGTCAATATTAGCAATGGCGACTCTCAATCTTCCAGTTATTTTAGGATTCATTGTGCAAACGAGGGCAAAATGTTGCAACTTGAGAATCCTAGATTCCAAGGTTGATTATTACAGGACAGTTATTCCTAAGGAAAGTCACATTTAAATCATATTTAATGACATCAAAATGCTCAGAGGGGATGCAGCCATTAGCAGGAAGTTTTAAAGAAAAATGTTCAAAGGGTTGGAAATTTCTAATTTAATATATTAAACAATATAATGAGCCTGTCGGTTTAGTAATGAACTGATGTCTTTGAAATGAAGACTACACAGCTTGTGACCTAGCCAAAGTCACTAACAATAAACCACTAGGGACCATTTTTTCTGATTGGTACCGTTTTAGGGAAGCAAGTGAAGTCAGTTTTTCAGCATTTAAAGTGTAAAAGCTTTTTTAACTGTCTTTGTTCTCAGTCCTCCAAGTATTTGTGCACTGATTGTGTCTAGGCTTTTTAAATTCTTCTGTTCCTTTGATTGTCTACCTTTAATGAACAGATCTCATCTTCAGCAAGGATAAAATGGCGATTACCTCTGTCAAACTAGACAGCATTTACAGCTTCTGTGAATCTCAGTGCCTTGCTATCTATCTACTTGTGAATGTGCTAACCTTGCTTTTGTGATTAAAACTGAATCTTTATTTTTCTGCAAGTGACCCTTTTAAGGAAGGGCTCTGCCAACACATACCTTCTCAGTTGTTCTGTTGCAATTACTGATTGTAAGAATGACTCACTGCCACAAAGTTAACACTATGGTAATTTCTTGCATAAACAGCCATCGGTGGCCTATGTTCATACTACACCGGGCTTACCTTCAGGCTGGGAAGAGAGGAAAGATGCTAAGGGCCGTACTTATTATGTCAATCATAACAATCGCACTACAACCTGGACTCGTCCTGTCGTGCAGGTATGAACTTCTTCTCCTCCAGCAAAGCAGTGAGATCTTGATAATCATCTGCAGTTCTTTCCGATTCCAGATGAAAACTATGGGGGAGGACAGGTTCTGATGAAATAATTATCTCTCAGTGAAAAGAGATGTGCATTAGCTATGGCAGAATCTGCTATGGCGCAGGGCCAATGCCAGATCTCATGCACATCAAACTTTGGCAGATCTGCAGCATAACGCAAGCCCACCTTTAACATCCACACTATTGATAGTAGGGAAGTGGGCGATGCAAGACCATGTTCTGACTTACAATCAGATGATTAAAAGCAGATTTCTCTTTCCCTGCTCACTTCAATGAAGCTTTAGTTGTCAGCTTGCAGTGAGTGAAATTGCAATTTCCTGGGGCTATAACATTGTTAATTGCAATTAACAAACAGGAGCTAGCTCCAAGCTGCACTTCTTCCCTCCCTGGAGTTAACCCGCTCCTTTAATTACAGTTTAGCAGCATTAAACGTGAGATCAAATTGAACAGAATTTTCGAATAAATCTCCATTCCAAAGCCGTCCTTTTCAAACCTCGATGTTAAGTTACTAATTCTTGCATTTCCATAGCTATCTGTGATTAACACCATTGAACCTCTTAAGCCAAGAAATAAAACAAAATAAAAATGTCAATGATTTATCCAGGAACATGGAAAGGCACATAGACAATAATTTAGGATCATAGAAATAGAGCAGGGGTGTCAAACCCGCGGTCCGCAGGCTGGCCATGCCCACCTCGGTTTAGCGAAGAGGGGGAATACATCATGTGATGACAACATAGCAACATGAGTTTGACACCCCTGAAATAGAGGAAACTGCTAGAAGGAGATTACCTAAACAAGTCTGCATGTACACCAATTAAGGGAACTTATAGGTAACAGTATATAACTGGAGTTTTTTTTCCAAATTTTGATTAATAGACAAAAGACTGGTTCAAGCACATCATCATGAATGGCTTTCTAAATAGAAGCTTCTGTGGGGCAGGCAGAAGACAACAGCCATTCATGCCATCTCCAGTCTGAGAAAAAAAAACTCATTCAAAAATTCCAGTAAAATAACTATATTGGGATGCATATGGTAGATTGTTCCAATTATAGTATATTTCCCCCATTGGAATGCCCACCACTGGAATGCTTTATGGAAAGCGGGAATGAGTAAGGAGTGTTAATCATGATTTATTGATTTCAGACATCCTTTATTATACCATAGTTTAGTTTTTGGTACAGGAAGTCGTAACCTGTAGCTAACTTGTGTTTGCCTCTAATATAGCTTGCTGAAGATGGTGCTTCTGGGTCAACATCAAACAGTAACAACCATCTAAGCGAGCCTCAGATAAGACGGCCTCGTAGCCTCAGTACTCCCACAGTTACATTATCTGCACCACTTGAGGTGAGAAGTTCTTTTCCCCAAACCGGGCTTGTTTGCCTCTTGAGTTTCCATTCTTCCCATCTCATTAATTCTCCTCACCATTTCTGTTCTCCCGCCAGCTCTACAATGTCTCTTTTGTATCTCAGACATATTTGTACCTGTCTTTGTTTTGTAAGATTACACTTGCTGGTTCTGACTACTTTGCCACATTTAACAATTTAAGATTGGATTGCTTCTCCAGACGATTATCTCCCTTCACCCTTAATACATTCATCTTCCGATATTCCTTCACATCTTGTAAACTCGTTGTATTAGAAATGTTCTACACATTTTGGTGCCTTCTGTGTGTATTTCGGTTTTGGAATATATGTTTCACATTTGATGTTGTTGTTTTTTTTTTTTTTTACTTTCAATATTGTTTCCATTTGTTTGACAAGCTAAGGCTTGATTTCTAAGAGCTGTATGATGCAATTCCTATGGAATAGTCTCCTTCCTGGGGTTAGCATGGCCCCAGTCCTGATGTACTTTCATAAAGCTGTAAAAACCTGGCTCTTCCAACAGGCCCCTAGTAGAGTATAGCGACTGACTTTGGTCCTTCTTTTAATTTGAAGTTTTCATCTGTCAACTTCTAAAGTTGCCATAGTGAGGGAAGTGGGGGGGTACGCATTCCACGCATACTTTCAGCTAAAGATGGATCTCAGATTACTGCAGCAGGCTTGGGAGGGGTGCACCTCATTGGGGAGTGTGATTTATGACACAGACTNTTGAAAGTTTATTAAAACGTTGCTTCCCAGCTTCTTCTGAAATAACTGAAAGGTAAAGAATCATCTGTTTGTGCATACATACAGAAAAATTAGAGGTGGAGTAGAACTTACCCCTCACAAGCTGTCGATTACCTAATGAGCAAGTAATTATCCCATCTCTGATTTTTACTTAGTGGAGATGCACCTGTGTGAGTTTTTCCCATTTGAATCAAGCAGAAAATATAGCAAAGTAGGAATGGATAATTGCAACCAAACAGGAATGTCAATTTGTAGACAACAGAAAGGGGGCAGAAAATTCTTTAAACAAAATTTGAAGAAATATACTTGGCTCTTACCAATGAAGTTGCATAGAGCATTTAAAGTAAGTGGTTTGCAACATGTATTAGCGCAAACCTTTAAATTATTAAACCAACCGTCTTGCAACTGGTACAACTGCCCGGTCTGGGTTGTTTGAACTTATCATGCATGCCCACACCTCCTTCAGCTTTTCTACGAGGACCAGCAACAAAGCGAAGCATGCACACACATGTGAAGGCAAACATTAACTTCTTTCAAAGTAAATATAAGAGCCTTGCAAAACAAAAAAGGTTTAATTATTTGGAGAGAGATGCTTTATTTGTGCTGGCAGGTTTTGCAAACCACCTACTTCAGTTGCTTTGCACTACCCTATTTCCCAGACTCAAAAACTTATAAATCAGATTATTGCAAAAATCCAACAGACATCCACCAGTAATACACAAACAACTAATGAAAATAATCAGAACTAATTGCAATTGCTTTCAGCTGTTGTTCTTCAAGAATAGAGATGCCAAGAAAACAAGGAGCCAGTATCCTCATTGTCTATGTTATAAAAGAGGAGTAATGATAATAGAAAGAATCAGAGAAAATGTCTTGTTATTAAAAAGTAGTTTTTACTCTTGGTGTCACATGTTTTGGGGGGAAAAACACTCCATGAAGGGACTCTCATTTGAATAACAAATAATTTATTTTATTCCAAACAGACATTGTTTCTCTTCTGTACTAATCTGTTTATTGAAGTCTCGTCAGCATTTTAAACTACAGATTTTGAAAGTCAATTAAAGCTAGACAATTTTCCTGCATTGAATATTTTCCACTTTGAACCTTCTCTGCATTGTTATATGATACAGTAAGATGAGTCAATTATGGATCAATTTACAGTGGTTTCCATAGCTATCAGCTATCAGAGAAAGCCATATGATGAGGAGAGGCTTACCTGCACAAAAAGAAGGTTCTAAATTTACCAAATTTATGTTACAATCCAAGGTAAAAAAAATATGACTCAATTTGAGGGAGAACTAGAAAACAAGGCTATGTTGGAATAAACCCAGTTAAATGGTTTAATAATTTCCTGCCAAATCTAAAGAAAGGAAGAAGGAAGGGTAAAGTTGTGATAACAAGTTCCACTGTTGTTTTTAAAAAGTGTTTTATTTATTTG